CTACTAGTTCTCTCTTTCCTGTGAGTCTCCTTTATCTTCACACGGAACAGCATATAACACTTCACCCCTGACACTTCTGGTCACCAAATGCATGGGGGTTTTCCCCACGCCAAACAATTCTCTGTGACACGAGCTTGGTGAGTGTCCTAAATTTAACTCAGTTCTGACACTACCTGGAAACAGCATCAGAACCTACAGGTGAAGGACTCAGTCCCACAGGACCGCACCCCCGCAGACACACACTTCAGATGCCCGTTGAAAGCCCAGGCTGTGACCTGTGCTTCTGATCAAATGGCTACAAGTTGGAAGTTCCCACGACCTGCTCCTTGGGTTCAACTGATTTGCTAGAGAGGCTCACAGAACTCAGGGAAACACGTTTACTAGTTTACTAAAGGATGTGGTAAAGGATACAGATGAACATCCAGACGGAAAAGATGTGTAGGGCAAAGGTACATGGGAAGGAGCACGGAGCTTCCATGCCCGGTCTTGGTGCACCACTTCCCCAGCAATTCCACGTGTTCACCAACCCAGAAGGTCTCCGAACCGCAAGCTTTTGGGATTTTATGGGCTCTCATCTCATAGGCGTGATCAGTCATGAACTCCATTTTCAGCCCTTCCCCCCTCTCAAGAGAATGGGAGCGGAGCTGAAAAGTCTAAGCTAATGGTGGCATGGTCTGTCTGGTGACCAGCCCTGCAGGAGCCCACCCAGAGTTGCTTCGTCAGAACAAAAGACTCCCATCACCCAGGAAATTACAAGGGTTTCAGGAGCTCTGTGTCAGGAACGAAGGTCAAAGACCAACATTAGAACAAGAGATGCGCCTAGTATTCTTACTACTTAGGAAATTATAAGGGTTTCAGCTCTGTGCCAGGAACTGGGGGGAAAGACCAATACATGCATTTTCTACTGTCTCAGAGTAGTTATGGATTCTGTGAAGGTGATTATCAAAGCCAAAATTAAAGCAATTTATCAGGCCTATATAAACACTTTAGAATAAAAAATATTTGTGACACTTATTACTGAACAGATCCTTCATTCTTTAAGCAAATATAAATACAATACTCTATAAGTTGTACTTGAGAGGATATCTAGGATACAAAGCTATTTGGCCTCAATTTTAGTTTGTTCTTTTTGTGTGTGTGAAAATATAACAGTGGGTGTATCTTTACGAAGCGCACCTTTCGATCCATTTGTAGGGTTCTTGATACTGTCTGTAGTTTTCTTATTTGAGTATCTAAGAGCTATTTTAAAAAATGATGTTTGGAAGATATGATCTACATTTGTCAAATCAGATGAATTGTTGTTTATTTAAAAGATAAGGTATTATCAGCAAGGAAAATCAAATGACTTAAATTAAATTTCCCACTCTTCCCCCTAAAAATTACTAGTTTCATGCTTTTGTAGGAAAAAAAATACGTGACAAAAATGTTGCTATTCTCTACAAAAATGAAGACTCCTACCTTTTTTGTTTTCTTTATCAAATCCTGACGCCTGTTAAAAGAAAATATTTTACTTTTAATCCAGTATTCAGGAATAATTAACAAACCGAAGCAAGTTAGAAAAACTAAACAATCCTACCAGTGATTTGTAGAGACTGGATTCAGGGTTGATTTTAATGAGTTGTAATAGATCCTGCATTGTATATACCTTGAGGGGAAAAAAAGATTAAGTAGACATTTTTATATCAATGCTTAAATGACAAATTAGGATATTTTTGAATATAAGACTAAGAATTATGCTTCATATTAAATAAGATAATGATGCTAAAATATAAAATTGAAGTTTCTCCTTATACTATTAAATAAATTACAAAAAACGTTGAGGTCAAAAATATAAAATATTTTTCTTGATCATGTAATTAACCTCCAAATACATCACGATGCTATCTATGCCTAACAGAAATGACAGAAATGGTTAATGCCTACACTCAAATATCTGATGAACCACTGAATTCCAGGGTCTTTCAGTTGTAGTGAATTTTTTTTAAATACTATTGCATGTAACTAAATTTTTACTGTTTTTACAACTATAAATGTCTAAAGTATGCCTAAAATAGTTTTCAACAAGCATTTTCGGTAGCTATTCTTTATATTCCCAGTACAGTACGTTCCATTATTTACTATGTCTACCCTGAGAACATCGATATCATTTATTTTCAGTTGGTTTTCTTTAAAGACAATGTTCTGCATGGCATCTGATAAGAGTAAAAACCTTTAAGTGTGTAAACTAGATTAATTACTGCTCCAATAACTATAATTGACTATTACTCATACAATAAGCAAAACTGTGAAATGTAATTAAAAACAGACTGATTAGACTAAGAATTCCAATGTTGATAAGTAAAATTTGGTTGTTCATGAACGTAGCATATTTAAATTTTAAGTTTTTCAAAAACTAACATTGTGTTTTCTTAAAATTTCTGAATATGAAACTTTTGGACAATTATAGATAAGATTAAGAGAGTAAAAACTCAGAAATAACACCAAGAGTGAACCCTAATGTAAACTATGGACTTCAGATGACAATGGGACAATGTAGGTTGATTGTAAAAATGTTAATAATGAGAGAGGCTGTGCACCTGTGAAGACATGGAATATACAGGAAATCTTCCTTTCTGTTCGACCTTGCTGTGAACCTAAACTGCTCTAAAAAATTAAGTCTTATAAAAAACTAGGGAAAGTTGGCTATGTTTGCCTTTAAAATAATAAAGTGTGACTAATGTGTTCAACAGTAATGGTGGAGGAAAGGAGGAATATAGTAAAAAATAATTAGAGAAGTGCTAAAACATGTCTTGATATTTGAGAACTCTAGATTTTTTTAACACAGTCCTTACTTCTCTTATACAATCACAAAGAAGAGAAACATCTGAAGAGACTGTGGCACAGTAAGAAGAGCACATCTTAGAGATCTAGAATTACTGTCCTGTGCTGCCACTTAGAAATCCTGTGACCTTGAGCACATCACCTCACCTCCCCAGACTCTGGTTCCCCATCTGTGACACACGTAACACCTGCAGTGGGACTAGCACAGTGCCAACTCACAACATTCAGCATAAATGGCAGTCGTGAATCTTTAGTCGACTACCTGGAATGTAAGATCAATTCTCACTCCAAAACATTTCGTGATTCCACACATCTCAACTTTACAAAAGACGAATCGAGATTCCAAGGAATTGATGGCAATATCAAATTTACTACTCTTTTATTATGTAACAGATATATGATGTGAATTCAAAGATGACTGAGAAATGGACTTAGCCAGCCACGGAGCACACTCAGCTATCACGGAGCACTTTACTCTTATCAGAGCACAAAGCTGTTGACAGAAAATTCAGAAACAGAAAGGAAAGACTTTACCTTTTCTTTGGCCAAACCACTTTCCGGAAAGAAAACTGAAAGTGAATACTCGTAGCCACATTTTTCTAAGTGATCTGCCACCAGAGAGTTAGAAGCACCGATTAAGAGGGAGCTCCCTGCCACCGAAATGGACTGGGGCTGCCTTTCTCCGCTCAGCACGGGGTGCATCAGCTCGTGAATCAGCTGCTTTCTCAGTTGTGTCTAGCTCGAAAACAAAAAAAGAAACAAGA